ATAGGTACCTGGGTGTTAGCAGTGGTGTGGGTCGCTCCTGGGGACAAAATTTACCCACCCTTGTTATGGCTGCCCCCAAAAAAGGGGCTTTCTTATAGTATGTCAGCTATGGTCTGTATTATTGCACATGTCTTGTAGAAATAAAGATTTTATTTTTTGATAATTGTACTTTTGTGCCCTGTACCCAAATAAATTATTTTCTCTGGAGTTGCCCTCCTTCTGAATGGCCATCCCCCCACACAGGGGGGAAATAGAATTTGTGAAAAAAAATCATTATTCGCTTAAGGAGGGGGGGGACTTGTTTGGGGGATGGGGTCAGAAGGTTTTTTTTTTTAAAAGGGGTCAGAAGAGAAGTGTTATTAGAAAAGGGGTTTGTTGGGCCGGGAGGTAAGAGGGGAAAAAAGGGACTAGGAGGGGGGGGGGGGGGGGGGGAGGGGGGGAAAAAAAGGGGTCAGGAGGGGGGGGGAAAACGGGAGCTAGGAGAAAAAGGGAGTCAAAGGGGGGGGGGAAAAGGGCCTCAATAGAAAGTGGGGGGAAATCGAAAGAAGAGGGAAGCTTTGGGGAAAAGGGGAAGGGAAAATAAAGAGGCACAATGCCGTTTTACTGGAACAATACACAAAAAAAACAGCACATAGGAGAAAACCCGAGGACGTTTCTGTCTAAGTACGAGGCAAGAAGAAAAAAACTTCGCCTTTTTATAAATATAAATTTTTAGTAAAATGTTCTCGTTTTATTTTGGCTTCAAACTTTACCTTCCAACAAGTTTTATAAGTACTTATAATTTTTTTCAATCTCTTTTCAGTCCATATATGCAGAGTGAAAAGTACTGTATAAAATACTGATAAATCTTATAAAGTCCCCGTATAAAATATGTATAAAGTACTGTTAAAAAGTACTGTATAAAAGTACTGTATAAAGTACTGTATAAAATACTGTATAAAGTTTTGTTTAAGTACTAATAAAGTACGTTTTAAATACTTTAAAAAATATGTATAAAGTACGTATAAAGTCTGTATAAAGTACTGTTAAAGTATGTAAAAAGATATATAAAATACTGTATAAAATACTGTATAAGTACGTATAAAGTACTGTATAAAAGTACTGTAAAATATGTTTTTAAAGTACTGTATAAAGTACTGTTTTTAAAAATAATAAATACTGTATAAAAGGTAAAAGTTTAATTTTTTGTTGTTGGTTTAAAAATACGGTTAAGTACTATATAAAGTACTGTATAAAATACTGTATAAAGACTGTTTTAAATACATAATAAAAGACTGTATAAATTTCTGTATAAAATACTGTATAAAATGTATAAAAATATAAGTACTGTATTAAAATTTATAAATAGTGTTGTAATTAAAAAATTATAAAATACTGTTTAAAGTATGTATAAAGTTTTTAAAGTACTGGTTTTAAAAATATTTTGTATATGTACTATAAAAAAGTACTGTATAAAGTACTTTAAAAGACTTATAAAGCAAAAATACTGTATAAAGTACGTTTAAGGTACTATATAAAGTACTGTATAAAGTACTTTATGTTTTATAAAAAATTAAAATGGGGATTAAATACTGTATAAGTACTGTATAAAGTATGTATAAAGTACTGTATAAAGTCTGTATTTAAAATACTTATAAAGGTACTGTAAATAAAGTACTTATAAAGTACTGTATAAAAATACTTTAAAAATTTAAAAATTTCTTATAAAGTACTTATAAAAGTATGTATAAAGTACTGTATAAAGTACTGTATAAAGTACTGTATAAAGTCGTATAAAGTACTGTATTAAAATACTTTTAAGTACTGTATAAAGTCTGTATAAAAAATGTTTTTAAAGTACTGTATAAAGTACTATATAAAGTTGTTTTAAAAATACTTTGTATAAAGTACTGTATAAAGTACTGTTTTAAAGTATTTTTAAAATACTGTATAAAGTACTGTGTTAAATACGTATAAAATACTTATAAAATTTCTGTTAAATCTGTATAAAGTACTTAAAAAAGTCTGTATAAAAATACGTTTTAAAAATATGATAAAGTACTGTATAAAAAATGTTAAAATATGTATAAATACGTATAAAGTACTGTGTTAAGTACTGTATAAAGTACTTTTTTTTATGTTAAAGTACTGTAAAAAATATGTTTTAAAGTCTGTATAAAGTACTGTATAAATAATTTGTTTTTAAGTACTTTAAGAGGGCAAATTCCCTAGGCCTATACCTCGACAAAAACCCTAAAAATTTCACACCCATACCTGGAGTTTACCTGGAGAGATTCCCGGGGGTCAAGGGTTTGGGGTCCTCTCTAAGATACGACCTACGCCCCCAAAAATCCCCCTTCTCACCTTACCCTTCACTCATTTATCCATCCCTCACCTATGCTATCTGTGCTTGGGGATCAACTGCAGCAACACACCTAAAGCCAATAATAACCCAAAAAAAAGCTGCGTAAGAATAATCACTAAATCCCATCCTGGCAACACCCCTCCCCACTCTTCATAGATCTAAAACTTATTCCCTGTTCGTACATCCACACTTACTACTGTGCAATCTACATCTACAGGACCTTAAATTCCAATTTTAAACCTTGACCAAAATGCTTTCTTAATAGTTGTGACAGAACCCCACAGGCACAACACCAGACACAAACATCTCTATGACATTCCCCTGTCCGACTAAACCTTTACAAAAATTCAATGTGTGTCAAAGGCCCTAAAATCTGGAACACCCTACCTGAAAACTCTAAAAACTGCAGACACATTCATCCCCTTCAAAACTACCATTAGAAAGCATCTTATCTCCCTGATACACCCTGTAAAACTAACTACAACCACCTGGTGGTTCACACTTACACTCACTCACCCATTTGACTATAAACACAGAAATACGAATCTTAATCTTAAAATAATGAATCCTAACTAGTCATAAGTTTGCCTATGATACTCCAATTGTGGAAATTTATTCGGTCATAAAGTTCCACAGGACAGATACGTCATACAAAGACCCCAACAGGTCGTGGATGGAACAGCTGGGTTGGGTGGCCCTTACACCCATCCGGGTTGGCAGAGGGGGTTTGGGGAAAGGTACATCTTAATTGATAGATTTACCCTTCAAGGAAGAAGTGGGTAGTTTATACTGTTTAGTACACTAATATTAGGATTATTGAGGCAACTGTAGATAATAATGTAGACCTAAGACCTCAATGTAGGTAGTAATATGCCGATAATGTAGGAAAACACTAGGTTATATTAGCCAGGGAGAACTGGCAGCCCAAGTTTGAATGCTGGGAAACTGGGTTTTGAAAACCCCAGTGCCTTTCTTCTAAGACCAGACACCATCGGAGCAACAAGTGCCATTGTCAGCAGGCGACGCCCCCCCATGTGTCTTCACATACTAGACCTGGGGAAATCTGGTGGAGGCACCTGGACGTACCGTAGATGTCCTCCTCGTCAGGCCCATACAATAAGACAAGACCTCCTTTTCCTTCTCGGGATTTTGGCCGGGTTTCTGGGGGAAACTGCGAGTGAGTTGAGTTGTGGGCCTTTGTGCAGACAGGCGGCCCATGACCAGTACCCACCGGCGTCACTCCATCAGCTTAGAAGCTACTGGGCCATTTCTGCATAGTTATGCTAGGGGATACACCACCCCTTGGAAACAGGAAATTTTGAGGTAGGCAGGTGACTACCATTAGAAAACATCTTATCTTCCTGTACACCCCGTCAACTAACTACCGAATACCACCTGGTGGTTCACACTTACACTCACTCACCCATTTGACCATAAACAGGGAAAAATTAATCTCAATCTTAAAATAATGAATCCTGTGATACTCCCAAAACTGAAAAATATGTACTGTGCCAAAACAAAAGCATTCACATTGCTAAACTCACAAACTAGTATTTAGTCACTTAGCCATAATACCAACTTACCTCATAATTTTGTAATATTTTAAAATTAAAAATTAAACTAAGTCTCCCCCAAATGCCTAGCCATGCTAGGTGGTTTAGTGGTACTCTGTAATCATTAGTTTACTACATGTAAACTACACAATAACCCAAAAATTTTGTAAATCAGCATTGTAATCCTTATAGAGAATAAACTTTTGAATTGAATTGAATTGGGAAAATCTACTGAATATTGCAGGAATTAAGGCTCCTGGTTGCACGTGGTTCTGAGAGGAAGTCCAGAGGGGCTACAGCTAATGGAGGTTGAAGATCGGGATACATTCTCCAACACCAAGTAAGTTAGTCCTGTACATGTGCATGCAGGGAGATTTCTTGCAACATCAGTCATTTATGGAAATCTGTCCTATAAGCCACTTGTGAGGCTGAGGTACCGACCTCAGGGGTCGGTGTCAACAGAGCTTGCCCGGGTAGGCAACTCATTGGGGGCAGTCCAGACAAAATTTTCACCCCAATATAGAAACAACTATGTATTGTGCCCAAAACAAAAGCATTCACATTGCTAAACTCACTAACTAGTATTTAGCCACTTAGCTTAATACCACCTTACTCCATAATTGAAATAATTTAGAGTTAAGAATTAATCTAAGTCTGCCCGAAATGCCTAGCCATGCTAGGTGTCCTATGGCACCTCTGTAATATTTATTTTATTTACATGAAAAACCACACAAAACCAAAATATGAAAACCCCGCATTGTAATCCTTAAGAGAATAACTTGATTAAACTGTTTGATAGTACATGGGCTATACGAGCACCTGAGGAGCGGGAGGTAATAAAGATCGATCCTAGGAAAGGAAGGACAGCTAATATTTCTTGGGTCAAGAACCCTTCCCCGGGTATCAGGGAAGTATATGTTAGGTCAAGTAAGATTCGTTAGGAAACAGGAAGTGTTTCTTGATACGGGTGTTAGTCATATGAATGACCCAACAACTGGAGCTTTTGGTCATCTGCCCGAGGCCTTCCGTTAACTTACCGGTCCATCCCTTAAATATTAAGATTATCTTAGTAAAGGAAGGCAAGCATACAATTGTGTACATACACTTTGACGTAAGGATCTGAGAAGCCGTTGGAGTCCATGGAAGGAAGGTGGGCACAGCGGACGATACCAACGATGAGAGCACTCCTCTGTTTGGCGTACTTGAGACTGAGTAGTACCTTCCCTCGTTCAGCCTCCCCCTTCACCTCATCTTCCAACAACTGTAACAGTCACTCAACACTTAACTGACTGCTTGGCGCCGGCACACTGCAGTATAATTCAGCATGAACATGAGAGGTTTGCAATCAAGTGACATTACTCGGATGCTTTTAATATCAATAAGTATTGGAAGGAATATAAAGTATATGTTACTCGTAAAAGGTTTACTTACGATGGCTCGCTTCTCTAGGTTGATTCTTATACGTTTAGTTTCATGAGAGGACGAACTTTCTTGGGGGCCATGCGAGCTTCACCTAAAAAGTCACAGCCAAACCGCTCCTCGTCTGTAAGAAAAAACTTTCATCACTTGACAGGATGAACTACACTGTTTAATCTGGCGGATTAACTTGCAAGATATTTTTTAGATGTCCCCAAACTGGAAGGTAATATTATGAGGAAGAACCGGGTTTGCAGGTGAGCTAATAGATTTTTCGTATTTACGGGATATATAGCGTCTGGGGAATGGAAGGAATCAGGATCGAGAAATGGAAGAGGACGGGTCCATTTCCTTGACTCAAAATCCCCTCTCCAGCATAAAAGGAACCTCCTCAGAGAGACATTTTAACAAAAGTAAATAAAATGTAGCCTTACCATTACATTAATGAATGTCTTCCCTGCTCTTAAACTATACATCTAATCTAACTACATGTTTTAGCTATTGGTCTTGCTCAACTTATCCATAGTCAACCTTCAGTTATTAAGTTTATTTAGGTACAAGTACACCTAAGTACAATTATCATAGCTAGAAACATATGTGTAAACTATCTAGGATAATTCAAAAAACAGTGACTTATTTCTATTTTGGTCCTTGTACAACCATGGAGGTGCTGGGGAATGGAGCCGGAACTTCTCTGGTGGCTGTTGATTAGTCAAGTGCAGGTTTGTTTATAACCCTCAGATTGATTACTGTGAGCCTAGTGCAAGTATGTGTAATCTTAGGTATATAATAAATCTGAAGTGCTATATGTTAACATATGTGCAAACCGAACTATATCGTATTTTGTCGTCAAGATTTCTCTCTCTCTCTTCCCTCCGCTTTTCCTGTCTCCTGTATATAATTTATATTTTATATTATCCCCGCTCTGCGGTGATGTGCATATCTTCATATAAAATTCAATTTTTCATTGTTTGGGATGGGCTGTCTTGAGGGATTTTGATTCCCCCGAATAGGAACTCCAACTTTTGATGGAAGGAAACCAATGAAGCTTCCCTAGCTGATGGAATACTCGATATCCTTATTTCCCTACTGAAGTTACCATTATTGGTGAATGGGGTTTAAAAGCCTATGAACACGAGGCTGCACGGTAACCTACTTTAACCCAATGTATGTATGCGACCCATTCTATGTGATGGAATATGACATGGAAACGTAGCTTTATTTGCCACTCTATTACTGTCATATGGAATAGTGTACACAAATTGCGAATGTAAACAATCTTGCTAAATTAAAAAGCTTTTTATTTTTCTGCTCAACTTTAAATTTTTATAAAGACGCTACACTGCTATGGCCTAGAGAATAAAAAAAAATATCCAAGAGTGGTGGAGGAAGGAAGAGTGATGAGCGTCACCGAAGGTGAGTCAAGGAGAAGGCAAGAAAACTTACCCAAGTTAATGAGGCAGGGAGAGGTAAAGGTCTTACCCAAGATGGTGAGTCTAAGTGTCTTGCGAGCCATCTCTGGTCTGAGATCCATATAGGTGAGAGTCTCGTTGAAGTCTGGGTTGACAGTCTTGGTGACCGTACGTGTCCTCAACTTGTTCGACTGGCGGGTAGTCCATAAAAACAAGACAGGGCGCAACAATTAATTCAATCAAATGAAAACCAAATCAAACACGTATTTTAAAACGCTATACGGAAATAAAGTATAAAATATTTAAACGGCCATCATGTAGCGGTAAAAGGTACAAAGGCACGTAATGGAACAGAGTAATTTTTCATGTACCGTAAGCTAAGCAGTAGCACAGATGTGTAATAACAAGCTCTGAAGCTTGAATCAATGCTGATAAAACAGGTGTTGATAATAAATACTGTCTAAGACCTCTACAGACTCTTCTATATCAAATCTCATTAAGCCAAACGTTCTCAATACTTTCTTAAGAGCGAGTTAGAGCGATCAGAGTGCTCCTGGAGTGGCAACTTAATTACGCACGAGTAATTACACAGCTTTAAAGGAGTTATTGTGTAAGATTGGCATTGTGTATTATATTTTATTAAATAAAAATAAGATACCTTGCTGGCGCCAGGCAGGAGGTGGAGCTTTCACGTAGGGATCAGCTTGTCTATTGCTGCTGTCTGCTGGCTTCAGATTCTGAAAGAAATAATTAAAGCTAACCCATTAACTGACATAAAGTTCTACAATAAAATTTAAACAAGTCAGCCCATATATAAAAGATACTTGACAATCTCCTGCCGCTCCCCCACACACTCTGCCTGACCTTCACCATGGAACCTCTACATTAAATTCAGATTATTTTTTAAAATTAAGCTGATTTCCTGCACCGACTGTGAATTCCTTCATTTACCAGGGTGCTCAGCCTCAGCACCTCACTTCCATCTTCTTCCATACCAGGTACCAGGTAGTGCTGAATGATGTTAAAAGATTCAGCACTTTATGTGAAAATAAAAATAAGCACAGAAACCTTGATGAAAACAGGAAGACCAGCAGGAGCTAAGAAGGGAAGGGAGCTTACAATGAAGGGAGATTGCGAGTGAAGGGGCTTACGAGTGAAGGAGATTGCGAGTGAAGGGAGATTGCGAGTGAAGGGAGATTGCGAGGTGAAGGGAGCTTACGAGTGAAGGGAGCTTACGAGTGAAGGGGATTGCGAGTGAAGGGAGCTTGCGAAGTGAAGGGACCTGTTTACCTGGAGTTTACCTGGAGAGAGTTCCGGGGGTCAACGCCCCCGCGGCCCGGTCTGTGACCAGGCCTCCTGGTGGATCAGAGCCTGATCAACCAGGCTGTTGCTGCTGGCTCACGCAAACCAACGTACGAGGGCCCCAGCCCAGCTGGTCAGGAACCGACTTTAGGTGCTTGTTCCAGTTTCCAGCTTGAAGACTGCCAGGGGTCTGTTGGTAATCCCCCTTATGTATGCTGGGAGGCAGTTAACAGTCTCGGGCCCCTGACACTTTTTGTATGGTCTCTTAAAGTGCTAGTGACACCCCCGCTTTTCATTGGGGGGATGTTGCATCGTCTGCAAGCTTTTGCTTTCGTTAGTGAGTGATTTTTCGTGTGCAAGTTCGGTACTAGCCCTCTAGGATTTTCCAGGTGTATGTAATCATGTATCTCTCCCGCCTGCGTTCCAGGGAATACAGGTTCAGGAACCTCAAGCGCTCCCAGTAATTGAGGTGTTTTATCTCCGTTATGCGCGCTGTGAAAGTTCTCTGTACATTTTCTAGGTCGGCAATTTCACCTGCCTTGAATGGCGCTGTTAGTGTGCAGCAATATTCCAGCCTAGATAGGACAAGTGACCTGAAGAGTGTCATCATGGGGTTGGCCTCCTAGTTTTGAAGGTTTTCATTATCCATTATCCATCCTGGGGGGTGTTGGAGACTTATAAGAGGGTGTTTTCTTATTAAGAAATATTGGGTGTGCCAGCAGTGTGGTGCAACACTACAAGTGGATGTATGGAGGAGTCAGCAGGTGATAAAAAGGGAGTGCAAAAAGATATTTATTAATACAACTTTTCACCCAAATTTAATAAAGCCTCAAGCAGGTGAAACAATGTCTAATGATACTTATGTCGTGGGAAGGAAAGTTAGGTATGTTTCCCTAGCATATTCCATCACATGTGATAGTCACAGACTTCACGGTAAGAGGATATCGTCAAGCCTGAAGTGAGAAACTTCAGTAGGTCGATGAGGATTTTAAAATTTCCACTACAGGTTCAGTACGTACGTCAGCTTTGTAGGTTTTCGTTCTGGGAGAGCTCGGTTTAACCCGGAGTTTACCCGGAGAGAGTTCCGGGGTCAACGCCCCCGCGGCCCGGTCTGTGACCAGGCCTCCTGGTGGATCAGAACCTGATCAAAACCCGGCTGTTATAGTTGGCTGCACGCAAACCAACGTTACGGTTGGTTTGCGCACTCAGTTCACCTGCTGTCCTGTTCATCTAGCAGTATAAAAGGTACCTGGGTGTTTAGCAGACTGGTGTGGGTCGCTCCTGGGGACAAAATTTACCTACCCTTGTTATGGCTGCCCCATAATAAGGGGCTTTCTATATAGTATGTCAGCTATGGTCTGTATATATTGCACATGTACTTGTAGAAATAAAGAATTAAAAATTATGATAATTGTACTTATGTGCACCTGTACCTAAATAAACTTATTTACTCTGGAGTTGCCATCCTTCTGAATGGCCTATCCCACACACAGGAGAAATAGAATTTGTGAAAAAAAATCATTATTCGCTTAAGGAGGGAAGGGGACTTAGTTTGGGAGATGGGGTCAGAAGGTTTAAAGGGATCAGAAGAGAAGTGTTATTAGAAATGGGGTTTAGTTAGGGCCGGGAGCGTAAGAGAAAACAGGGAGCTCAGGAGAAAACGGGAGCTCAGGAGAAAACAGGGAGCTCAGGAGAAAACGGGAGCTCAGGAGAAAACAGGGAGCTCAGGAGAAAACGGGACCTCAATAGAAAGTGGGAAGTCGAAAGAAGACGGGAAGCTTAGGAAGAGGAAGGAAGAATAAAGAGGCACAATGCCGTGACTGGAACAATACACAAATAAACAGCACATAGGAGAAACACATGAGGACGTTTCTGTCTCAAGTACGAGGCAAGAAGAAAGAAACTTCGCTCATATTATAAATATAAATATTTTACGTAAACTGTCTCTCGTTATTATTTTGGCTTCAAACTTTACCTTCCAACAAGTTTTATAATGTACTTATAATTTCTTCAATCTCTTTTCAGTCCATATATGCAGAGTGTAAAGTACTGTATAAAGTACTGTATAAAGTACTGTATAAAGTACTGTATAAAGTACTGTATAAAGTACTGTATAAAGTACTGTATAAAGTACTGTATAAAGTACTGTATAAAGTACTGTATAAAGTACTGTGTTAAGTACTATATAAAGTACTGTATAAAGTACTGTATAAAGTACTGTATAAAGTACTGTATAAAAGTACTGTATAAAGTACTGTATAAAGTACTGTATAAAGTACTATATAAAGTACTGTATAAAGTACTGTATAAAGTACTGTATAAAGTACTGTATAAAGTACTGTATAAGTACTGTATAAAGTACTGTATAAAGTACTGTGTTAAGTACTAT